TTACGAGCGCCGGCGGAGTCTTCGCAAGAATGTAACCAGCCGGTATGACAAATCGTCTACATGCCATGCGCAAATCCAATTTTACGAAGCACGATCCCGGCGGATGGAAGTGCATCGGCAACGCCGAGGGACGCCACGCAATACGCCCGCCTGGTCTCAGGCATGACGGCGGTTGAATTCCACCGGGAGTGCAAGCTTTTGGCGACTTAGCCAGGCAACCCTGGCCGTCCTCGAATGGGCAAAGGGGCGGGGGTGTATGTCGGAGAACTCGGGAGGGTGGCTTCGGATATCCTCTTGAGAACGGAGAGCGCATCGAGGTAGCGATGGGAACGAGATCGAGATGGATACGGTGTGTTTCGATCCTTTCTACGCGACGCGACGAGTTTTATAAACTCGCGCGAATATTTCGATAATTTTGAAAATCGAGGGAGGTATGTTGACGACGCGAACGAGAACGCGATGAGATTGCTCGGAATAATCTTTTGATTTTATCGTTCCCTTCCGACAGCATCGAAAATTTCGGTAACTCTTTTCAAAAGTTGGGGAATGTCCAACGCGTCAGAACAGAATTTGAAGACTTTCGATCGCCAAAGTTTGTTGACATTGGTAGAATTCTAAGAGTGCCCGTCGCTATTGAAAACTTCCTAGTTAACGGCGCGAGTGAGAAATCGCGAGTGCACCGTCCGGAATCTCGAATTTGCGCTTGCCAGTCGATGGGATTCCACGCCATCACTGCCACGGTGTTACCATTTCATCCCTTCCCGTACTTGGAGGGCGTCGTGAAAAAGAATCGTATGGAGACCGAGAAGTCGAAAGAGCACGAAGCCGAGAGGCGGTATAAGTTTTCAAAAATAACTATAAATTCATTATTATACAATTCTTTTTGACTTTGTGCGCATACTTGCCTCGACTTCCATGCGACTGTAACGTTATAAATTGTCTGGGCGATATCTCTCTCTTTTGTCACGCTCGTTTTACTTTACACAAAGCATAACGGTCCTTACGCAATTTGTAATTAAAAGATTTTTCGAACACAAAGAAAATACATAAATCAGACTCGGTAACAATCCCTCCCTTTGTCGATGTAGGAGATTTAGTGAAGCAATATAACATTTTGTGCCATTCAAGTTTAAACTCGGAGTATAATACTGTTAAATAAGATAAAGAATGTCTGTGCAACTATATACACAATTGATGTAAAGTTAGAGAAGGAATAAAAATACGCCGCTTTAGCTTAGCACACACAATCTCTCTCTCTCTCACAATCAGTTGTAAGGATGAGCATAGACGACGAACTTTAAGTTGTTTCGCGCCCGTTTTCGTATGTGGGGCGAGACAAGATTGTGTACAGTTAGGTAATAACTACGAATGCATGCCTTATCCCAGCAGTGAGTACTTAATGTAAATGATTTTGCCAAGTTTCGCGGGACAAAGGGCGCGGGCGTATAGTTTCGAAACTCACACGCTGGCAACAGCCCCGGAAGTTTCTCTGAATTTTAATGAAAAATGGAGCGGGTATCGCGCTCGTATTTGCGTTACGAATGCTGGTGATGGTAACGGAGGTTGTGATAGTGGCGGTGTGATGCTGGCGGTAGATGAGGAGGCACGGAGGGCGTGAAACAAACACGGCTCTAGTTCGGTAAATTGTTTGAGATTATCGCGCATTACTATCAATTAGCATCTGCGCATCGTGTACACGTTACTCGCGTAATACCGCGGAAAAAGGACAGATGATGCCTGCTGTGGAATCCAGGGCCGTCGTAGTATCGGGCGTGTTGTAGCGTGATACATACAACTTGTCGAAATTTTATTTCACATTTACGGGAATTTCTGAATTGTATGAAAAGCCTCTTATAGCAGTATATAGAATAAAATCTCCAAAAATATTCAACGCGTACGTTATTTAAGAATTTGAGAATAAATTTTAGGAGAATTTATCTGACTGTATATAAAGCAGCCACAAGCGGTATCGCATCGGAAAACTTTTATCAAATTTTTATCATTTTTCGCAACAAAATATATAACAGTTTACGATATATGATAATATTAAATAATATAAGATTCATATTGAAAGAGTCGATTTCAAAGTACATATATAATAAAACATCAAAATCTCTAATATAAAAATGTCGAGCCAATTAAGAAAATGAGTGCGTTACGACTGAATAATACGCATAATCCTAATAACGAGGATGTTACTCGGAAATCGGTCAACGCGCCGTAAATCTCGTAAAAAACTGCGTAAAAATCTGCGTAAAAAAAGAATGTAAATCGTTTTAAAGCGCGCAATTTAACACTCGGTTTATACGAGCGCGAGGTATGTTTCAGAGACAGACATACGGCCGGCTCGTCCGTCCTCGGTTAAATCGCGTTCGCAATCAGTCGCCGCAATCGTCGCGATCGACGACGAATTATGGTCGCGTCGGCCCTGCGACATGAAACCTGGAGGGTGGCGGCAATTACACCCGCAGGGCCGCAGTCGCCCGAGGGTACATCTGCCCTTTCTTACCCCGACGTGACCGACGAAATTATGTGTGTAATAAACGCGCACGCGCTCGCAACTGTTCTGGCAAAAACGATGAATCCCGATGAAGGGATTACACGGGCAATCATATTTAACCCCTTAAATGAGCAGGGGAGTGCTCTCGAATGGATATAACACATTTTGCAAATTTGAATATTGATATTGCATATTGAAAGTACTTACCGCACTTGAAAATATGCGCTCCTTCGTATATCTAAATGTGTACCTAACATTTTTATGATAAAATCGTAATTGTAATTTTTTAAATAATTAGAATCAAAATTTTTCTTTTCCATGTAATTTCCTTTAATCAATTAATTCGAAATTATATATACTGAAAAATTATTTTTTTTCTATCATTAATGAGAAAAAACAGTAATATTTTATTGTTATAACTATTAAAATTTTAATCAAAAGTATAAATTATTATATTACTATTAATTATATTTTACGAATAAATAAATTTTGCATATTATAAATGATAAGATAATGTACTTGCACATATATAAATATTACTTTCGTGTAAATGTATTATATCAAAATAATGTACTTGCATATATAAATATTAAATTCATATAAATGTATCAAATATCGTAACAAATGTGAGAAAATATGATAGTACGTCATTTAAATCTAATGTTTCACGCCATTTACTGGATAATTGCGAATCGTTCATTTAACGGGATGATAGCAAAATTCACTTCTATCGTATCCGTTTGAATATAATCGTAAAGTTGTACAATTAATCACTGCAGGAGAGAGATGCGAGACAATACAGGAAATGGTGCGAAGAGAACTTTCGTTGCTCTCATTCATCATCACAATTGATTATTGCACTCGCTTCTTTGTTTTCAAAACGTTCTCTTTGCTACGGCTAATTGTCTTTATAATTTACGTTTACTTACCTTCTTGAAGACAGCACGATAGGCTATTATTTGAATATAACGCGTGAAAATAAAAATGCGCGCATTACGTAACAAATAAAGAAACAATTCTAATTTATATGGAAAATTATATAACGCAGTCATTTAATTATACAATTGAACATAATTTATCGCGCAAGTAAATAATAGAATATCTACATTAAAGACTCTTTGAAAATGATAATATTCATAATTACATGTATAATTAATGTCAAGGGAGAATCCAATAATTGATATAACCTAATTACTTATATTATAATAATTAAATATGAATTTCTTTTGTATAAATTATTATTTTCCAATCTTTAGTTGCTATGGTAATTTTCACTTTAATGAAATGTAAGACTCTCTCCATCTCTCTTTCTCTCTCTCTCTCTCTCTCTCTCTCTGCAGTGCTGCATTCGCAAGAAAATATTAATATTTAACGCTCATCATTTTCTCCTCCGCCGTACATGGAAACCGGAAATCCGCAATCCGCAGCATTGTCGCTGAGTCGAAAACCATAAACAACCGGAAGCCGCTTTCAATCCTCGATCTTTCAGCAGCATCCCTCGTTCATCTCACTTCACTCACTCGCGACACGATACGATATTCAGCTTGGAGCCAGATTCTTTCGCGCATTGCCGTAGCGTTCGAATTTATCGCGCCGTTTTTTTTTTTTTTTTATTTTTTATTTTCACGAGTAACTCGCAAGTAAACGCGCGCGAGAGCGAATTCTTTCGACGTTTGTTTACGTTGCTCGCGGTACATCGAGAATCGAGAAATGTTTACGTTGCGATACGCGACGGCCAATTTTCTAACGACCGCGTGTGATATTTGTGTATATTTACTCGAAGTCGAATAATGTAAACGGACGATAACAAACGCGCGGCCTTAATTGACACGTTACACCGGACCTTCGTCGCTCGACAGTACCATTCAATCACTCTCTCGCCCGATGTCCGATTATGCAAGCGACGCACTTGGTACGTGAAAATAATGGCGGCGGTCATTTAGATGGAAGTTTTGACGCGACGCGAATACTGTATGCGGTATTAATCACAGTCGCGTTGATTAGCACGCTATGACGGCCGCGATACTTCATTGGACACTCCCGATATATGTATATGTATATATATTCGCGCGTGCACGTTAGTTTGCTCGATTATTAACGCACGACTCTCCCTCACCCTTCGCTTTCCCCCTTTCTTTCTCGCACGCGCGAAAACTGTGCAGCGAAATCACCTCGACTCCGACATGGAAAGGTGGCAGATGGGAAACTGCTTTATAAATTGGGAAACAATCATTGGCTACGAGTTTATAGAGTCGCAATCGCAACAATTGCAATCGTTCGAGAGAATCGATACATCGTTACTCTATTGTTATAATATAATATAATTTTATATATATACATATATATATAAAATTATATTATATTATAACAATTCTTATTGTTTATTATTAGATTATGTTTAAATTAAGACTAATAAAATCGCGTAAAATAATCTGATTCTTGAAATAATGAACGAATTGAAGATAGAGTCGTGAATATAGTTGAATGAGTTCGCGCGCGCTTGAAAGTTGGCTACACTTTGTTGACACGTAAAGTGCACGCGAAATCGCGAAAAGCGCGCGAGCGGGGCAACATGGCGGGCGCGTAACGCGCGGTTGATCCGCGTCCGCCGCTCGTTAGTTCGCAAAACTTTATTTACCGTCACGGGAGTTATTGTGAATCTGTACGCGCGATACGCATTAGCGTCCGTTTCGCTCGCGCGGCGTTCAAAAACCGCCGGCCGGACCGTGTTAATTACCGTATCTCGGGACGATCGATCCGCCCGATGATCGAAGTCCGTTTACGAGCGACGCGAATTCGATATCAATGAGTGCGTGAAATTCGCGAGTGTATATGTGCATATTCGTTATCAAACTCGGGGGAAAGTGAGCAAATAATTATCGCACGGGAGAAGATCGAGTGTCTATAAATCAAGCGTTTCGTGTTCTTGGAATACGAGTACAGTGTGTGTATGACTTATCGGTGAAACTTGGCGAGTCCACGTAACCGCGTATTCCATCCTCGTCGTGGAAAAGACGGATCAGTGCGGCCCTGGGATCGCGACACCGCCTATTCGCGTGAGGCACACAGTACACGCGTGCTTGTATTCGACGCCTTCTTATGTGTATGTATATATCGCGACGCTATCACATACGCGTCGCTCTCTCTCTCTCTCTCTTCCCCCCTCCTTCCCCCCACTCCCTCTCTCTCGGCGTGGCGTAGTACCGCGCGTCGCCATCAGCGGTGAGACGGCGGCGCTGTCAGTCGTACTTCGGCCGTGGCGCCATCGTGTTGCGTCGCGTCACCCGTGCTCCCGAGTTGAACCGAGTCCGTGCAGTGGAGCACAGTACAGTTCGCTCTCCGCAGCTCGTCGCGTCGCTCGTAAGAAGCGGACGCGCCTTCGTCGTGTGTCGTGTGTATTGTCGTCCAACCAAGCTCGTGCGTAACCTCGTTTGTCGGGAGCCAAGGAATGCCGAACAGCGAGTGAGAATACAGAGATAATAAACGGTGTCTGTGTGTGTATAACGCCGCCGAAAGTTTGGTGTCGCGTGGTGAAGGGAAACGACGTGAATCGCGGCGCGCGAACTCGAAACGGACGGGCGCCCGCGCGACACATGAGGTGGAGGCGAACTCGCCGGGCGAGTTCAGACGACGAAGAGGTAGCAGCCAAGAGCGCGGGACTGTCAGAAGCGAGCTTACAAACGGGGAATGCAGCTTCGGGATCGTCGTTTGCGGCCGCGGCCGGCCGCCACGCACTCGGAGACATGACGCGATGATCGTCGAGGCACCCGGTGCATTCGCCTTTACTACTCCATCACGCCGCCGCCGCCGTCGTCGTCGTCCTCGTCGCCGTCGCCGTCGCCGTTCACGTCCTCCGCCCGCGTTCTCCTCCCTCTGTCTCTCTCTGTCCGCTTCTTCTTCTCTCTCCGTCTGTTGATCTCTTCTCTCGCGCGCTCGTGTGTGTACGTGCACCTCCGTTCTGTAGTGAGGTACGGAAAGTGTGACGGATAAGTTGTTTCGTCGTGAACGCGCCAGCCAAGAATCATGGGTGATGTGCAAGGGCTTCATCTAGTTAGTGACTTCGGCCGGGAGGATATCGCCGGAGGTGACATCGGAACGTCGGCAATCGTCAGCAGGCCCATTGGAGTAAGTCACTGTGTCAATTGTCTTAGAATTTAGAATATTATCTTATCGTATATATGTGTGCGAAATGCTTTTTCATACACACGTCAACACGCGGTGTGTGTGTGTGTGTTTGTGTTTGCGTCCAAAGAATTCGAAGGTCAGGCTTTTTTGTTCGTCGCGTGTATTTTTTTTGCACGTTGCCTGCCTCGCTTAATTCCGCGAATTAAATGTTTACATTGTAACTCGACACTTTATCGCGCAAATCTCGTTAACACGCTGTTGTTCCCCGTTCATTTTGGCTCTATTCAGTTTAGAATCAATAGCGTGCAGAGTCAATAGAGAAAATGCTATTTTACGCGATTACCTCCCTTTCTTCCGTTATATTTGATTTTATGTTAGGAAACTTTTGTGTTTAGAAAAATAACACACACTCGTAATTCTCCCTTATTTTGAACGAGCATTTTACAAGGAATAATGCGTCGTTTTGTCAGGGGGCGATTTTCGAACGAATTCAATAAAAAGCAATAGCAATGACGATATTAATAATGATGATTTACAGTGGATTTATTACTTATGCGGCGTTTCGCATTAATTCATTTGAGATTCGAATTTTGTTGATCGTGCAGGAATATAATGCTGTTTTCTGTAAACAAATAAGAGCAACTAAAATTAATTCTCGCGATGATCATTTGAAATATATTTTCCAATTTAAAATTTCTCCTTTTTATACAACCTTTTTATTCAATTTAAATAAAAGGTAACATTTTTAAGTGATTTAATCATTTTACGAGATTAATTTCGAAATGGCAATCTTCGTTAACAATTGCAATATTGTTGGGAAATAGTAATGCTTAATTGTAGGTCATTTCAAATATTTATTTATGAATCTTTAGTCGATTTGAAATAATATATTGAGCATCGATCGTGAGATCATCTTTTTTAATATGAATGACGAAACAGAAGCAATTCGTAATATGAGAATAATCAAATGAAAAACTACTTCGTTATTCATTGACGTATTTTTCATTTATTTCATTCAAAATCAATTTGACTTAGAAATTAGTGTTCTTGTCATACTGGAGCACTGTTGCGCGAACGGCGTAGGAAATGTCTAATGACAAACATTATAATAATTATATATTTCAAAGATAAGTGGTACACTTGATGAATGCGAGACTGTAAGAGTTTCTTCTGCGATGAGATGACTGTTATCTCAGCACTTGTCTTAAGAATCTATCGTAAATGCAATCGGCGAAGCGTCTAACCGAATAAAACGATGAACACCAGAAATAAATAAGCAAGACTAATTATCATTATTGGGGAAAGTTTAATACTTTAAAACTTGATCGGGTATAAAATTTTAGATTGCAACATTTTCTTGTTACCGTTACATTTACAATTGTAATTATTTCGATAATTGCATACAAAATTAATTACTCGATAGTTATGTAGGAATTGTTAATTATAAAAATCAGATTGCGCTGTATACAGGATCAAAATCCAGAGATTTCGTATATGGAGAGAATTTTCTCTTAGAATTTATCTGGAAAATCATGATAATCATGGGACGGTATGGTAAGAATTTTAGAAGAGTTTCTCTGATTAATATATTATCACAATAAAAAATATGTATAATTTTTAATATGTATATAATAAAGTTAATCAAACATATTTTATATCTTATTGTGGTATAAATATGTGTATATAAAACTGATAAAGAGGATGTGTCCGTGCAGCCTCCTCCCCCGACGTTAACAGTAACGTTTTGCTCTAATATATCATTAGCATTCTCATGTTTAATTTGTATTTGAAGTTTCATGCCCAAAGTTACGAGATTGTAGCAACTACATCATGTAACTAGCAATAATGCATACCATGACGCAGGCACACGCACACAGACTTGCCTTGCAATTCGCATCCGCATACCGTTAATGCGAATACGAAAGTCCCGAAGTTAGTCCCGAGAAGTTTCAAAACTACGCGCATTTACACACTGTGTCAGACTTTGAACGACGAGGCGTGAAAAAGCCGCGGCAAAGATTAGACGATGAATAAGAAAATAAGAAAAGAGAGAGAAGAGAGAGAGAGAGAGAGAGAGAGAGAGAGAGAGAGAGAGAGAGAGAGAGAGAGAGAGAGAGAGAGAGAGAGAGAGACGATCGCGTTAATGTCTGATATAAAATTCACGACGGACGAGGTCGGGGCGCAACACTTGGCTCGCCGCTGCTGCTAATACTGCTTTACGTAATTAAGCCCGAGCTATCAAGAAGGCGAGTTGGTAACGAAATTAATTGATAATGTGTGACATAAAATGCATTAACGGATTGCACCTTGAAAGCACGGCATCTCGTGACATCGATATCGCAAGCTAGGCTCTTCCGTCTCTATCTTTTCTTCCCGTTTTTTTTTTTTAAGGTCACGTCTTCTATTCGTATTGCGATGCATAATACATAAACTCTCGATTACCGTGGAACATTCTAATCTTCGTGATCCTCGCTCGTGCTTCGCATCTATAGACGTATGCAATCTAATGCGTATCGCGTTGCTATGAGTGCTGACGCGTCGCATTTTCTTCTTCTTTTCGAAATACCGGTTCTCGGATTAATGCATCGGGAGCACTGCGCATTCCGTTTATTCGATCAATCGCGTCACTGTCTCGTGCACACCGTGCTCGCAGGATCTACTCTCATCTGTGAATCCTGCAACCTAATAATAAACGCTACTCTCTCTCTCTCTCTCTCTCTCTTCTAGTATAGCTCCCTCTCCTTTTTTTCGCTCTGTTCGCCTCTGTCTCTCTTTTTCACTCCGCCCCGTTCGCCATATAGCTCGTTGCAAGCTTGGGAATGGTATCGTGAGCGAAGTCAAAGAAAAAGAACGATGGCAGGGATACGAAGAAGAACGAGAGGGAGCAAAGCTATTGTAGATTGTTGCTCCTTTTCTATATCTTTCTCAGCTCCTTTTCCATCTCTCTCGCCTGCTTTTCACCATTTCAGTATCGAATTTTTTCTCTCCCTCTTTAAAAACTTCATCTCAATTTAAATGCTACAATAACTCATTACATAATTAATTTTTCATTAATTTTATTTTTTTCTAACGATACATATCTTTGAGTAATAATTTCTTCATATTAATTATTATTTATTGATCGTTAACATATTATCGCACTTTTTTTATTTTCGTATCTCACATCTGTTTCCGATAGTTTTTCTATATATATATATATATATATATATATATATATAGTTACGAGATATTCTTCGCTTCATCTTGCGGGCACACGTTTTTAGTTCTTTTCACTAACAGTATATAAGCGTTCACTCATCTTTCTTATTGAGTCAACACTGTCCCGCACAAAAGAAAATTTTATGGACAGCCACAAGTGAGTTGTCTGTTGGTGGAAACTGAGAATTAGGGGACACATGATTTCCGAGACCATAATAATAAATGATATTCTTTCGTCCCTTCTTTACCCTTTCACGCTTCAGCAGGTATATTTTCGAGACGTCACACGGTTCTGTAAGCCGATCCGTGAAACTTCCACGAATCGTGCATGTTCTCGCGCGTTTAGATTATTACACTCGACGGCGATGAGGCGGCGACGTCGAATCACGTACATACGCCAGTGAAAGATTAAAGCGGCTTAAACGCACCGGTCGTTGCTGCGTCAAAGGCGCCGGTGTCGCGTACCTAACGGAGAATGAAGCGTGTCTGGCGAACGAGGAAGAAAAGAGAGACGGAAAATGATGAACTGTAAACATGGGTTTTCGCGTACCTACGTTTAGATTTTCCATAACTCCCGCATCACGATGATGCGTCGAAAAACTTTGCTTTTACCTGTCGCGTTGTCAAAAACAACGTGGACGCGCGCGCGTGCAAGTCCAACGAAATTTTTGCAATCGGATGTCCGTGCCACACGATCCTTGTTTCGAACTAAAAATTGTGCGTCCGACGCGACGTTACGGTATACAAATGCAATTTTTGACAATTGTCGTTCAATTTGTTTTCCGTAGGGAGATGTGTATAAATTCCTGAATATACAGACGATTGTAGGTTTTAGGTTTATGATACCGGAGCAACATGTTTACAATATATATATATATATATCATGTGATATTAATCTCGAAAATAATTTTATCATGTCGTTTAATGTTATATAGTAATTACGAAGCAAGTATCGCTTGCACAGAGAAAATTTTCTCTTAGAATTTACCCTTAAAATCATGATAATCGTGGGACAATGTTATTGGAAAAATTTTATAATCTTATAAGAGAGAGAGAGAGAGGATTTTTTGTGATTAATATTTAACAATTTAAAAATATAATATCTACTATAATAAGATATAAAATATGTTTAATTAATTTACTATGTAAAACTTATGATGTACATATTAATATTTTTTATTGTGATAAATATTAAAATCAGAAAAACTTAAAATTATATTGCCTACGATTACCATGATTTTCAGGATAAATTCTAAGAGAAAATTCCCTCCGTGTTGGATTTAAGAATTTCAAATATATTCGTTTTTTTTTGCATTTGCTACTGAGTCTACGTTTCTCGTATTAATTTTGCGACTTAACGGAAGGCTCGTGGCTCTAAAAGAAGCTCGTAACAATTTCCGAGATTGCGCAGTATCGCGCAAAGTATGTAACGATATCGTGAATGCTCAAAGTTATCCGAGGCTCACGACTACATTTTCAAATTACCGTGGTCCATTTTCCTTCTAATTTCCGCAAGCTTGTTTCTTACAATTAGCTGTGCAGTATAATTATTGTGTAACGTTTCCAAAGTTTATCGCGCGGCGTGTGGATACGTTTAATATGCCGACCGAGTTTATTGCGCAGATAGAGCCTTCGTTCCTGCGATCAAAAATTCGATCGACCGTGAAGTAGCCGTCCGTTTCACGCAAGCTTCCGACTTCTACGACTTTAACTATTAATACGGATGACACTCCTAATCCCGTAACAATCGCGGACTGGCCTTCGCGCGCACGACATAAATATTTATCGTCTCATTAACATAT